TATTACATATTTCTCCTTAACACAGCATAAAAATAATAGGCATTGAAATTTTGATGTATGCTGGTGAGGTGCATGAATTTCTATAGCGTGGTTTAAAGTATTCCGTAGTGAAAGACTGAATGCACAAATCTATCTCGGTACAGCTACAAACTTCTGAATTTCACAGTCCTCTAAGCAGATCTCTTTAGCCTCTACATCGTTCTTTCAAAATAAGCTTTAGCTATTTCTTTTCATATTATGTGTAACGGTAAAATTTAATAGTTCACTAAATAAAAAAAATAAAAATTAAAAGGAGATGTATTCAACAGTCCCATGTAAATGTATCACTTACTTTGAGGACAATATACTGGTTTCCTCGGTTTATGAAGTCGAACATTTTTACTGGCGTACATCGTAGCTGGAATTGTGCCTGGGACGTTCTCGGTCGAAGAACACATAGATTCTGATCTAGCATTGCGTTGCTGTATGTCGATTGTCCAGATAGTAACATGGACAGTTACAGACACGTCCATTGTTCTCAATAGCTGCAAGGGTCTTTAAAGAAAAAATAGCTTAACGAACGCAAGGTATGTTAAAACGATGCCATTCTCATTAACAACGTTATAAGGAATATTGTTTTTCAATAATTTGTACATAGTTACGATCCTTGACCTCTGTGTACCGTGTCAACCAGTACATATTAACAAAATTTCTGTGAAGAGAATTGGCAACTATATTCCCAAATATGTTATTAACTTTACGATAAAATTATACTTCACTGGAATGAAATATGCTTGCAAATAAAAACAAATAACACGTGATTACATGCACATATAGTACCAGAAAGAAGTGTAAAATATTTTACATTATAATGCAACAATGTATAGGGTTTTTATATTACTCTTTCACCAGAAATTTAAAAGAAAATATCAACATTTAGATCAAAACAAATACATAAATATTTCTACTACATCACTCTCTTCCAAAGGCCAACAAACAAGTCTGTGCTTTATGTCGGCAAGTTTTAAATGACAACAGCTGTGGTTTCTGGCACCACAATCTTCAGCAGCATGTTCGCGAACAATGTGGCCAGCAGAATGCGCTTCATGAGTGCTTTTGTTTACAGTTCGCAATACTTAATTAAACCGTAGCCGACCAAATAAACTAGCGCCAGGGATAAGTCGAAAGAGTAAACGAGATATTACAGTTCACATCATCTGTGTTGAGTGGTCAAAATGCAAATAATCGGAGGGAATAATAAATTTTTAAATAATAATATGCTACACCAAACAGCAACTACGAGCGGCGTACAATGGCTTTATAAAAAACGCCCAACCGACAGCTTATTAAATGAGGAGGTGAGAGAGAGCAAATAGCAGCTCTGTTAGACAACTTTGATCGACAACTAAAGCAGAGGTTTACCCAAGTGGAGGAAGCAGCTCAGGTAGAAAAAGCTAAGACTGTGCTACACGTGGACCAAGTACCTAGAAAGGTAAAATTGATCGAACACAAATTAAATACCGTCGTTACTTCCCTGGGAATTGTAATGTCAGATAACCACGTCCGAAGTGACACATCAGCCCTGGAAGTTGTTAGCTCACATTCACTGAATCCACCATGGGAACTTGAACTCAATAAGATTAACCGGTTCAGTAGTAGATTACTCACCGATCTGTCTATGAGCACATTCCCGTATGACCCAGGAAAGCAATACTTAATCAAGAAGGAAAGATCAATATGATTAGAATAGTAGATGAGATGTTTACTCTGTTTGCTAGATAGCAGCGCTGGAAGGTATGACCAGGCAGCGATTCAACGTATTTGATCCAAATGAACTACCTGTACCTCAATCTAAAGGAAGACAAGCCTGTAACTGGCGAAGAATGGATGAAAGAGTTGGATGATTTTGCCGGAAAGAGGTTTGTTATTAGCCGCTGAACATTGTCGCAAGGATGCTTAGAAGTCACAGAAATTTGTTATTGTATAGTGGTATATTAGTTGTTGTAAGGGCACATTCTGTGAGTAGATGCTGGTATTTCTAACCCGTAAACTTATGCCATTGTATGTAGGACCATACACAATAGTACGAGTTTTGAACCTCAACTGTAATGAATTATTTTCGTTGGACAGTAGTGAGGCTGTATAAAAATACAATATAAGTGCTCTAAAAGAGTACCTGCCTCCACTTACGTCTGTTTAATGTACTGAAGAATTAAACACTAAAGACTGATCAAGCTGTGTGATTGGTAATTTGTTTTATTACGCTTGCAGAGCGGTGAACAGACGTCTATGTCAACATTATTATTACGTATGGAATTTAATGACGTTGAAATGGCTTTGTTTATGCGTCGAAATATTTATTGGGTGTATCTGAGAGCTGCCTTTTCATGATAATGAATAATTCCTCGTATTTACTCTATTAATTTTTGTTTTGCCCTACCAAGAAACTGATCCATGATTATTATTAATTTTCCAGCTTACTTCATGATTATATATCTATAGTTCTGGCGTATTTGGATATGGCGTGAGTATAAAATAAGTGATGTAAGAATATAATAGAAGAAAATAAAATAACTCCAACTTGTATATCTACTGAGAAAAGAAGATCAGCTTATTACTGCCTATATCGTAAACATCTCGGCTACACTACCTAAATGAAATTAGAGCTAGAAATAAAGGAACGACCCTAGCAAATGTTATCGTTAGGGAACACTGATGAGTACTTTTGCTGTAATTGATCATCGAATGGTATAAGCCGAAGTGTTAAGAAATAATAATTTATGGACATCCCTGTCAGTAAAGTGGGCTAGGACATTACTACAAAATTTAAATAGTGACGAAGAGATCCCATGAAATAATGACACGTATAAACTTTTTTTAAAACTTTCTTGGCAATGAAGAGTTGTCGTTTTGTCGCAGTAAAGAGACTGTATGCAAAGGAGTCTTCTCCAGTGTCCGGAGGGCAGCACAATGGACTAGCAGCCAAGTATTCCAGCTCAGCTCCCACTCAGGGTGTTCGGGGGCTGAGCACAGCCACAAGAAGTGCCACATCTTCACAACGAGGATTCAGCTGATGGACAGACAAAATTATCTCTCTCCTCCCATACAAGTTGAACATACTAATAATAATTTCTGACGGATTGATGTGTTAAATGTTAAAATTATTCAAACGATCACTATTTCTTTTAATTAAACATGATCATAGTTGGATGGTAACAAACTCTGAGAGCAACAAAAGAGTACATCAAATAGTGATTTTTAAAGTGTTACAAATATCACCCTAAGTAATTTTATATATGTTAATTACATTATTTCGTTTCTTGTACCTGTAATTTGAAGTAGATTGTATCAATTACTTTTTATTTTCTTTCAGTCCTACACGTTTATTCAATTTTATATTTCAGTGCATGTGTTACCATCGAAATTGCATTTCTGAAAATGTTTGGTTTATGTAAATGTTTTATTTCGGTTAAGTTTCTCTTTGCCAGTGAAACTGTCTTTCAAATAATTGCATTTTGTTATTATTACAGACATTTTATGCTAAGTATTGATATCTTATTTGATATGACATTCTCTGGTTTATATTGTTATTCAATCCTCTTGATTACGTGTGTATGGAACGACTCTACTCGTACCAACCAGAACTGAAAACTTTTAAGGCTTTTTTCTGTTATACATAATTTTTCGGCGTTAAGAATTATTATTGGTACCTAGTAACGATTCTTCTTTAATAAAACGTTTGAGGGCTAGGCTTGTAGTAAGACGTTAGGGGATTTGATCCATTAGTATTTTATATATTTGGCATAATAACGAGTCCGAAAAGCAAATTCCAGGCTAGATCATTAAGCAACCAGACGTGCGTGATTTATACAAGAGAAGAAGCCTTACAGATGACTGCGTGGTTAAATAGGTTATAGAGTCTTTTGCGATTTGATCGTATTTACGACTTACGAGTGCTATGAACTGTAGTTAGTACGTGAATAAGCTAGTATGCTTATTTGTAGGGGAGATTTCATAAGGGTGGATCTTGAGCCAGCTAGATTCCCAGTTCGAAGAGAGTGATATCGTCTTCGCCCGACTATTGGTTTCTTCATTTACCGAATGGCATGCTACTGCATCCAGTCTGCGCAATTGAGACGACAACTTCAGTCAATTACAGTTAATCCCTACGAAATTATTGCAAAACCAAAGGTAACAATATATGTATTTAGAATAATTTTCATTGAACAGATACTTCTTCGAAAGGTTTTGACGTGAATAATATTTTTAATGATTGCACTGTTTTACACCCATGATCACACCGATATGAGTTTCAAGATTAATAGGATAATCATTACTTGGTGGATAAATTTTTTTTCCCTTAATTTGATCGATAGTATCATCATTACTAGTAATTACAAAGTTGGCCAGAACTATTTTCTGATAATAAATTGAAATAATCAAAAAATGGTATGATTTTTGTTTCAAAGCAGTATTTTATCGATGAAATGCATCTTTTAATGACAATGTCGAAATCATATAAGAGAAATAGGTTTTTTTTATTAAAATATCTAATTATCAAACTCCATATATTTTCTATTGATAACGTTGTATGACTTCCTGTAAAGTGGTATTTGTTGGCTATCTGTGCAATGCATATTTTCGGCTGCCATCTAAAGAACAGCAGAGTCTATGATATTGCATTTTTTTTACTGATTGGTGTCATAAAAATATATGGTGCATATTCATATTCTACCTATGTTTTAGCCGAGGGAATAGTTAGGCATAACCCATAATTCATGAAATCTTTAAGTATAGTCCTACACATTACACGAAGTGAAAATTTGGTGCTCTAACGTGTAAATGTTTCTATGGCATCATATACTGGGGCGCTATACGATAAAACATTTTAGTCGTTCCAATAAATTTTGGGACAATTTCGTGGGGCCATTGTAACATATACTAAATGCTATAGAGAATTTGGTGTTATAACATGATAGCAGCAATCCACATACTATTAGATTTTTGCACCCAACATACAATAAATAATATTAGTTGGTAGAGCATGGGACTCTTAATCTCGGGGTCGTAGGTTCGAACCCCACGTTGAATGCCAAAATAATATTATGTGACTTGGCTTACTGCTGTTAACATGTTAATGCATATGTTACAACGGCCCCGCAGTTTCTATGCCGAAAGTCTGTAACATACGCATTGAGTAGATTTTTCAATTTACTATGACATTCAGAACCTGCTAGCTCAGAAGAGTTAGAGCGCAAATATTACCCTTCGTGTAATGTGTCTGGCTTTACTTAATGATGTCACTTCTTACGGGTTATTCTCAATGTTTGCCTCGGCTAACACCTGGCTAGAATACGAACAGAAGAATACCTTTTATTGAACCACTCAGTAGAATAATTCGAAATCATTGATTATGCCGATCTTTGGATGGCAGCTGAAAATAAGCATTACACACGGACAACAAATACAGCTTTCTACGAACGACCTCAACGTTATCAATAGAAAACATATGCAGTTTGATAATTAGAACTTTTAATAAAATAAATTTATTTCTCTCATAGGACCCCAACATTGTCATAAAAATGTTGTTAATCAAATATTGTTAAGAGAAACAATGCTTATAGTTATTTTAATTATTTGAAGTCGTAAACAGAAAACACAATCCTGGCCAACTGTGTAAATGCTATCAATGGTCATATTATAGTTTAAAAAAAGGAAACATATTTCATCCACCAAGCAATGGTTTTCGTGTTCGTAAAAAAATTACTCCAAGTTATTCTAACAAGAGATTAGAAACGACAATATAATAACTTTAAGTTATAACAATCTGTTGAAAGGAAAGACACTAGTCGAACAATTACAAAATTATAACCTCCATTATTTATCTTGGTTTATACTAAAATGTAAATCTTGAAACTCTTATTGGGGTGATTACTTGTGTAAAGCAATACTGTCATAAAAAAATAATAACGTCAAAATGTTTTGAAGTAATTTGTGTTCAAAAAATTACTATAAATGCTTCTATTGCTACCTTTGAACTAGCGATAATCTGGTAGGTCTTAGCTGTGATTGACTTAAGTCATCGTCTGAATAGCGCAGACTGGGTGGAAGAAACTAATAGTCGGGCGAAGACGATATTCCTCTCATCGAACTAGGAAACTAGTTGGCTCCAGAAACTTAGCAGTATATGGGTGTATTGAGGACAATCCGATTTAGACTCAAAATTCCAAGAATCGCAAGCTTTTTTTCTCGAATTACAAGCTTTTTTTTATAGCAAAATCAGGCTTTTTTCTTCGAATTTCGAGCCAAAAACCGCCTCAAAACAGTCTAAAAAAGCATTTTAAAAAATAACCAAAAAAGCCCCGCCAAAAAGGTTTTTTTTTTCAAGCCTCGTTTTTTCTAGTCTGTGCAAAATAATTGATTTTAAGCTACAAACGAAAAAATTTGCAAAAATTAAGAAAAAACATCAATAAAAGTAAATTTAAGGTAAAATAAAATAAGCTAAAATCAAATGAAATATAAAAACATTCAAAATTATACAATTTATATATTTTTTTAAAGTGAATTCAATATCATTCACTGGTTTACCATTTTTCAGATCTTTGTAACATATATACATTACAAAAACTTTTTTTCCCTTTACTAATTTTAAACCATTTTCAACAAACATATTTAAATAGCTATCAGGTAAAGCTATTTTACACCTACTGTCTAAAATACAATAAATTTTTTTACCAAACTTAGAATCATTAATTTTTAATTCTGTAACAGCATACCATTTATTAATTTCGAGTTCTTGTAGTTTAGTCAATTCATATGAATTGTTCAATTTGTTGACAACAGATTCCTTTTTTTATATATATTATTAGGAAAAAAAGTTATATGAAAAAAAAAACAAAAAAGTTATTTAAAATTATAATAAAAAAATCCCTTGTATAACAATTATTTTTTAATACATCAAAAAAACTGAAATTGATGTTCGAAAATGGAAAATAATGAAATATGTAAGCAACGAAAAGAGAGAGGTCAAATTTTAAATATAGAAAATTTTTTCATCAAACAAATATACAAAAGATAAGCATATTAGTACCTGCAAAAAAATTATAGAGAATATTATAGAAGTCGTTATGCCTTTAAAAAAGAGAAATTACCTTGTGAATGTAGAAAATAACTTTATAATCTCAAAAAACATAAAAATACTAAATTAAACGAAATAAATTAAATTCGACATGGTGATTATTCAATTAAGACGTGTATATTTAGTAATAAGAATAAATTTATACATTCATTTTTCCTCATAAAGCGACTATTGTTAAACACACAGCAAAATGTAATAATGTTTAAGTGAGAAAATATTGTGCGAATGTGGAAAATATATTGGTAGTTCATATTTCAAAGAGCAAAAAAACTGACACACACAATACAATAGTAGTATATAATCTAAATGAATTTCAAAATGACAATAACCCAACAAAAACATGTAAGGTATGCAATGAGGTTAAATCTATAAAGTTATTTTCTCCGAATAAAATTACTAAGGACAAACATTCAACATTATATAAAAAATGTTATAAAGATAAATATTGTCATAAAAAGAATTTAAATTGCTCAAAATTATTATCTTTACACATTTTTCTGTAGTCTTATTAAATTTGTATTCTTACAAATCTATCAATTATCAATAAATTGGTCCATTTTATTCATTTATATTTATAATTTTTTTATGTACTTTATATTTTTGTAGTCTTATAAAATTTGTTTTTTATAAATTAAAAAATTAAATGTGTCTTCATGCAAATTCAAAAATATGTCTGTGAGGAATGAGAGTGTGTGATTTGAGAATGATAGGGAAACAATTAAAAATTAATAATTGTTAGAGTTTAAGGAACGATGATATATTTACAAGCATTATTGTACAAAGTCAAATAATCATAAAAAATAATAAAGAATTGCAAAAAAGGAATAATTTTACACACTTATCCTTTTCAGCTTACAAAACAACAAAAAGAAATGCTAAGAGTTAATGAAAGAAATTTTCCCTTTTTCTTATCAGATATTTGTAGAACCAAGAAATAAAAAATCGACATTTTCCTGTATCAATTAAAGAATAAAATACACATGTAGTTCAAATTTTCCTTTTTAAACAAAAACATCTTAGTGAACATTTGGAAAAGAAGATTACATTAGAAATTAATGAAGTTAGTAGTAATTAAATTGATAATTTCAATATTTGGCAAACAAAATACAACATTCATATTAGTAATCTACGAAAAATTTATATTGAAAAAATGAAGTCTGTTCGAAACGCTGTTCACGAAAAAATGAAAAATGTAAGAAAAACTACCAATTTTAAACATGGAGACCAAATGAGAATATACGAAAATAATCAGAATTTTCACCACACGATTTCGGCCGCGAGAAATAACACTTTAAACGCAGAAAATTTTCTTAATCAAATTGAAAGAATAATTATATCGAATTAAAATGTAGGCATAAATGAAACTAATTTTGACACTGACCTTTATAAAATTCCAAAGAGGAAATGGAAAAAAATAAAATAATTCAATTTAGCTAAAGGTATAAGAGTATAACAATGTGTTAATAAAATTATCAATGATGATAATTTATGTGGGCCCAGAGAAATAATTACAGCTTTAACATACGAAACTAATATCATTTTGGATACAGAATTAAATATTAATGAACTTATTTACATTAGAAAAGGAAAATAATTGCAATGTGAATTGCCTGGTGAACTTTTCAAAAGACAGAATAAAGTTGTGAAATCAGTTTCCGTTTGGAAGGTATTATGGATGCAGAAAATTTTCTAAATGTTCAAATTAAAGTTGTTTCAGCTACACTTTCGATTCAATTATATAATCTGGTTAAAGAAAGCCAACAACTATCAATTTGTATTCACACGATGAAACTTACAAATGTAATTAATAGTATGAAAGCATTTTAGGGTAATGTTTATTATTGTAAAAATTGTGATAAACCATACGATATTAAGGATCAATATGAGTGTGAGAAATATAAAATATAAATATGTACTTGTGGAAAACACCACAACACGAAAATGTTTGGGAAAGTGAAGATCGTATAATAATATATTGCCAAAAATGTAATAGATATATTTTTTGAAAAAAATGTTTTACTAATCATCATTCATTGTTTAAGGCAGTCCATACATGTAAAACGTGTAACAAAATATGTTTGAGATATAAAAATGTAATAGATATACTTTTGGAAAAAAATGTTTTACTAATCATCATTCATTGTTTAAGGCAGTCTATACATGTAAAACGTGTAACAAAATATGTTTGAGAAATAAAGATGTAATAGATATACTTTTGGAAAATAATGTTTTACTAATCATCATTCATTGTTTAAGGCAGTCTATACATGTAAAACGTGTAACAAAATATGTTTGAGAAATAAAAATGCACAAATGTTGTTATTCCAAATGTTGGAATTGTAAGGGATTTGTGAAAACTAATGAACATAAATGTTATACACAAGAGAGACAACAAAAAGGGGTTTTGTATAAAAAATTGTAATTGTAATGGCAAAAACAAGAAAAAATATGGATTATTCTTACAAAGAAAAATACTACTTTTTTTTCTACGAAGCAATACAAGGTACTGGTTTTCACACAAAAAAAACTTTATATCTGTTCAATATTTTTATGGCAACAAAATACATTTTAAAACAAACGATGAGTTTCGCGAATGAGCAATATCTGAAGAAAATAAAGATTATATAATTATTGTACATAATTCCTAAGACTGGTATTCACATTTTATATTACAATATTGTGTTAGAAACAGTACAAACCACATACTATATATCAAGGCTCAAAAATTGTGCAACTTAAAATATCGAGACTAAATATCAAAACAATTGATAGTATAAACTTTATTCAAGGAAGTCTTTCAACATTTCCAAAAACATTTGGGTTAAAATAACTAAAAAAAAAATGACATTTTCCGCACTTTTCTAATATACCTGAAAATCAAAATGATGTAGGAAAAATACCATCTACAAAGTATTATGGAGTCAGTAAAATGAAATAAGAACCACTGAAAAA